ATTTAGACTGAAGTTTATTTTTCATATTTATAACACTTGACAATACAAACAAATTAATTATATCTTGTCCTTAACAACTAGTTCTGAGTCTATGGCTTTGTTTAGGGATTATTAATCAAAAGCTTTTACTTAAGAAAACAACATTTTAAGGTTTCTAAACATTAAATAAAATCCGACAATTGTTCAGCATTTTTACATCAATATCTCTGACCTTAAGTGTGTTATCATACATAATATTATACAATAAATATTACTTGTATTATAAAATCGCTAGAATTCAAGTTCAGACCAATAAATATTGGTTTTTATTATTTATTTTCTCCTTAAGAATTAAATTAAGGAATTCATACGAGAATTATTTATCGGTTTTATTATCTCATGCTTGCCATCAAAATTATATGTTAAACAAGGCAAACTTAAAATTTATAATAAATTAGATAATGCAAACTCATTAAACAAAAAGTTACTTCTTGTTTGCTTTCCCATCTGTTAGTGAACTACCGGTGCCTAATAGGCACTGCCTATCACTAATGAATTAGTTTTTTGATTATCATTTAATGAATGCTTTGTTATTTCGACACAAAAAATGCCAAAAAGAGTTGTTATTATCCGAGAATTTAGTGGAAAACATGATTTAATGACAGATTATGTCTGTGAGGGGCAACTCAGACATGAGTGCCGGTGCGATACGATCTGAATGGCGTCTACGGGACGTCCTTGTAGTACTCATGGCGGTTGTCCATCCTCGGCAAGTATCCTTTCAGCTTATAGGTCTTCGGGTAGTGCTGACAGTTACGCTAAACTCTATAATTGTCATCTCTGACGTTAATTATCTGGGATACTATGAATTCAGTCGATGTCACTCCAGAGATCATTGAACGCTCTAATGTGCCTATAATTAGAGAAATACGAGGGGAACAGTAGCTCACCATTAGATTCTTAAGACTGATTGATTGAGATTTATGTTTTTAAGTGTCATTTGTTGGTGTGTATAAGCTATAAGTTATTGAAATTCACTTTTTATGGCCATTCTCTCGGTGGATATTTTTTTGAGTTTTGTATTTCTTTATGTATTTATTGTCTGATATTTAAGGAAAATTGTTATCGTGTTATGTCTTGTGAGACAAACACTACAACCGAAAACACTTAACAGTTTTTGTGTTTATATTTAGTATTGAAGTGTTTTAAGGAAGTCATACAACGAAATCAAAGCAGTATTTACTGAATCATTGTTTTTCTTATTCAATAACTAATTTATTTTAAGGTCTCAGAATATCTCTACATTTTTGTCACTTAATTATTATTATAGAGTAAAAATAAATTACATTTTTTGAAGTTTTCCTAAATTGTTTTGGTAATCATTGTGTGAAACTAATTAAATTACTTATTTCATTATATAATACACAAATATTTGTATATTCAAACTTTATCAAAATTAATTCTCAAGTCTTCATTTAATAATTTTCAAATTTCTAGACAAAATAAATACTTGATACTGGTAATTTTTAATGCTAATTGTATAACTTATAGATTGATTGGTTGAATATAATTAAATTTGACAAAATGAAGGACAAGTAGTTTTGTCATATGTATGCGATTTACATTTAATCATTTTTTCTGCTGATAAAGAGTGTATAAAGAATGAACATTTTGATTTAATTGTAATTAATGTCAGTTATAGATTTATTAACAGACTAGCCACAAATATATTGAATATTTTTGATATTTTCCGTAGGCTATAAATTAAGCTCGATTTCAAATCTAAGTTTCGTGTATGTAATGAATAAATCATTAAGATATTAGTTTTTGCATCGAAAAATTCAGAGAAAGCAAATACTTTCCCTTTATTTCACTATCACTGCCAACAGTTAGTACAGTACACGAGCACTGGTTTATGAGAAACACTTCATAATTACATCAATTCACTGAAACCTATCATATAATATAATGTATTCTTAAAAGTACTTCAAAATAATAAAAGAAAGGCTTAAATAAGGCTCACATTCCCCACGATAAAGGCTCGCAATTAAAACAGATTTTATTGTTTCTTATTTTGCGGGTAAAAGTCATAAAATATGGTTGAAAAAGCAAAACTGTTTTTTAAGGAAAACAAATACAGTATAATCTAAAATATAATCTGAAATATAGTTAGAGAAAGCGAATGGAGTGAAGAGATTTCGTGCAATTAATTAATTGATTGTGTGATTATATAGGAAATAGTCAATTGAGGCCAACATTAATCGTGAATTACAATAAGCAATATATTAGAAAATCGTAGTACTGTTGCATTTATAATGAATTAATTATGTGTTAATGATTTGAATATAAATCACTGAATATATACCTTCTCTTCTCTCTGAGAGGAACGCCATACTAGTGATAGACATAGTGGCGAAAAACACGATGAATATCATGAGTCCGGGTCCCACGAACTCAATCATATCGGCCTTCTCGCTCGGTATCTACCCAGCGAGCTTTGCCTGCCCGTCAAACTTAGCCCTCTCCAGAAGCGGCTTTCATATCCGCTGGCAAAGCCGCTTGAACTTCTGGCGCGGTTTGTGAAGCGCAGATTACTATAACTCGTGAAGAGCGTTGGATCCGTCGTAATAGATCTTAATAGTGCTGTCATCGACGGTACTGTTGTCCACGTCATCCGAGTTTCGGTAGAGGTTTCTGAGGGCTCGCGAAAAGTTGTTGGATATGACGAGCGCTGAATACGTCTCGGCGTTGCGCACGGAGTCTATGGCCGCTTCGGGGGACGGGTAGTATTTCAGGGCAATAAAGTTGTTGTCAATTGACTGCAAAAATATTTGACTCAATATGGGAGGAAACTCTTGGTTACTGACGGCCAACTGGACGCTCGTGGGGTCGCGACCCATGCATAGGGCGAAGAGGGCCACCTCGAGGGCCGGCAACAGCATCGTTATGATGAGCTCCGGGATCCGTCGGAATAGTCGTAATCGGTTTTTATTGCAGAGGACACCGATTCGATCGATGGATCGGACTTTGGTCTTAGACCTGAAGTTCACTAATTCGTGGTTATTATTACGCGAAACGTTGTTGATCTCGATGTCGGGTTCAATCTGCGTGTAAACCTCTTTGTTGCGGACGTACACCTCTGTATGCCTTCGCGGCAGGGATGCCGTCAAACCTTTGGTCTCTAATTGTGTCAAACTATTGGCCTTTCCGTTGCAGACCAGCGGCTCATTGAATAGTATCTCTAATTTATTGTGTGTTTCAATGCAATTGTCTGTCGCATCGAATCTGTCGATGGATATCGAGTTTTGTGTGTTTTGTTGTATGCCTTCGTCTCTACGGGAAAGCAATAGAATGTTGAAGAGGTATGATAATTGTGTCATTACGAAATAGTTTCTTACACCTAAAGGAAGGCGGTCATATACTGGGCTAGAGTACTTAGGATGGTATAGACGTCTCGGCCGGAGGAGATACATTACCCAAGTTACGATCACCTAATTATAACCATAGCATCCACATTAGACTCAAACCTATTAATTAATGTAGCATTCATTTCCCTAACATTTCATATTGTGTTCACTCTTAATTATAATCTAAGATATTGTTCGTGTTCATTTATGATCATATTTTATTTACTGTATAATGTTGTTGTTTAATAGCTTTTTATTGTGATTCCAATTATATATAATATATGAATAAAATAAGATATTTGATAAAAGTATTGACTGCTAAGAATGTATAAGGAAAAGTGACTCAATTGTTATGAACTGTAAATCTATATTTTGAAATTGGATAACAAGTGAAGCAATATATTTAAGATATATTTCTTCCCACATCTGTTAATTGAATTGATTCCAGAAGTCTCTATAAGTTTGGGTCAAATTTCACGATAGAGTAACTCATCAGTCAAACGCTAATTTATATCTCGCGATGAAAGGCTTTCATTGAGAAATGCAAACCATATATACTTTGATTGATGAAACTTTTAGTTGAACTTTTGGTCCAACACTTGAAAGTTTTTGCATCCAAATTGAATAAAAGCTTTTTTCTATTCATTACATTTATCGGTAGTGTCGAGTGCATAGAAACAGATTTCGTCTATCAATTGAGAGTTTTTATAAACATTGAGATAACAGTCCACTGAATATCTGGATATCTCTCTACTGTTCATCAGGATATCAGCGCCTGAACTCTTAATTCAACTCAAATTATCATAAATTTTGTTTTGTATTATCGTATCGTTTGTCCCTTTCTATCGCACATCTTAAGCATACAGTTCCTCATTATATTAAACTAATGTTTGTACAGTAATTTGCATTTCTCACGAGCATTTCACGCATTACAGCCTATTATATGGCAATCCAGGCATAAAGTTTACAACTTTTATGTAATAACTTATTATGTAAATCTCTAAAGACTGATAATTAATTATAGATTTTGCCAAAAAAAAACTGGCAAAGAGTGAGATATAAAAACCCAAATCTTATCACTCATCACATATGACAGCTCTGGTCACACAATCGCATAAACTCATGGAGTGAGTGAACACTTCTAGAGTGAGTGAAACATATGAAAGATTGCAATTCATAATTGGTTTGTGAAACACTGTTTCGCAACTTTTGAGTACATTTGTTTGGCATATTCATCAAATGCATAAAACTATAATTGTGTTTGCATTGAATAATAGTTACCGTGAGTCCCTCTTTGCTAATCTGAACCAAATAATTCCAAATACATTCCCTGAGTATAGGATCCACACCGACCTAAACCAAACACAATGATAAGGGTCTATAAGTTGACATTGAAGGCAATTGATAAATCATATGAATGATAGGACTGGCGACTGACTGTGGGCTCATCGAGGATGAGTAGGGGAGGGTTGTTGATGAGTGCGATGGCCAGAGAGACCCTACGCTTCTGACCCCCGGACAGGTTGTCGACGAATTTGTTTTCCAAATGCGATAACTCCAGTAATTGTAATAAGAAATGCATTCGTTTGGTAAATATTGTGCGATCCGTATTACAAAAGCCCGCGTAATATCTTAGTGTCTCTTTGATTGTGAACTGAGATATTAAAGCCAATTCTTGTGGCATATATCCAATGCCCGGACCTTTTCATAGATTAGATCAAATTTATGATTCACTAAACCTTTTTTTGTGTGTTTTATGTTAATTCATACCTGGAACACCACTTTCTCTGGTTCCTGTAATTTAGATAAATAATGCAAATATTAGTCATAAATCAATTTAGTTTAATAAATAATTATTACAAATATATTAAAATTTTCTCAGTTTGTATGTATTTAAATTAATTTTAAAATTTAGTATATGCTAGTGAATATTTTATTTTGTCTAGTAATTTAAAAGCATAAGTGTTTGTTGGCATAATTTAATTGAAATTCAGGTAATGTTGACACGTCTGATGCAAAAGTGTTATACGAATCTATAAGTCGTTAATATGTATTACCATTTATTGAATGTATTATTATTTCATTATTAAAAAATATCATTCATATGAGAGTGTGATTTAAAATAAATAAATAATAAAAATCATATTTGAGTTCATTATAATTCGCATATTGGTTCAGTTGTCAATAAAATAAAGGGAATTATTGTATTGTATAATAAAAAAAAGATTTTTAGTACGAAAATGTGAACACAAAGGAGTAACTCATTGAATGCAATATTTATAAAATAATAAAAAATATATTTAATATAAATTGTTATTTCAAAGAATAAAAATTAAAAATTCTGTTGACATGACTGGCGTTTGATTTAATAGGACTGGCGATGACTGGATACTAATCTCCTATTGATTAGCCACAAGAAGACTAACACTCAGCACATTATCTCTCATTAAAAGTTCATTAAAAGTACTCATAAACCAACGAAATTTAACCCAAATTTATTTATAAATCATTAAACCTTTAGACTTGAGATATTAGGAAATCAAATCATAAGACTATTGCCAAAAACAGATACATTTATATATTTCAATCGTTATATATATTTCAATTATATTTCGTTTGAAGTCAAATGGCTTTTTGTCTCGCGAATAGAGAAATTGTGTAACAATTATAGCCTTAATGTCAACTCAAACATCAATTTCGAGATCAAAAAACACTTGAAAATTGTAATTCACATTTGTTTATATTAAAAATTAAATATTTGTTTGGACTTTAAGCTGGATTCCCATCGAAAAGCATACAATTTATGGGCAAATATACAGACGTTTATTGACAGCTAATTGTGTGACAAAAACATCTATTAATACAGAATCATGAATGCAGTTCCAACTGCTCATACATATCAACTGCTTTTGTATTATGAGTTTGTGTGCAGAATATAATAATTAATTTGTAATTACACAATATATTCCTAACTATATTATTGGGAAAAATAATTATAACAAAGTCTAATTTAAATGTCAAAATTCCAATAATTAAATGAGTAAATGAAAACAATTCATATATATATTTTCACGTTTCATGATAAAAACAATTACACAACTCAAAAACATTATGTCAATGACTAATACATTATATAATTTCCGAGAAGTTAACTGATAAAATTAATTAAATATTTTTTCAAAATGTAACTAATTCATTACTGTGCCATTGCATACTGTATGTCAATAGGATGTAAAAGCTTTTGTATAAATTGATAGATATTTAAATTATTAATCATTTACTTTAGATTTCCTTCTAGTAATACAATATAAAGTTTTATATTTTAATAGAAAAACTATTGAAATATTTTTCAGATGTTTTACACAATTGAGTAAAATTTAGGAAACTATTCACATGTGAAGTCTGTCTGACATACATGACTGATGCAAACAAATGCCATAAAATAACATAAAAATATTATTTATTATTCAAGTTTTTGTTATTTTCTTGTTAGAAATATTGTTTTTATGTATAAATCGCTTTCAATTTTTTTGGCGTTTTAATCCGCGTTTAAAATAATATTAAATACATACAGTTTTGCCAAAGTATAGAAACAAAAAATATTTTCTTTGTCTACTATTCCCATAGTCTGATGAGAATTAATCTCTAATACAAATATAACATAAAACTTAAGTTATGTATTTATTTAGATCTCTATAAGGAATTTAAAACTTTTATTATACAGTACTGTATATCAATTTTTGCTAATGTTATCGAAAGTGATTTTTAATAAAAATCTAACAAATTTCAAAATTTATTAACAAATTTATTAATTGAGTTATAAAATTTGTTTGTTTAAACTTATTATTTGCCAATTCACAATCGACTAAATAAAAACAAAAAAGTTCAATAACTTTTATTAATTTTAAATATAACACAGCATAAAAATTGTCTACAAATCAAATTGTTAGATAAAAAATGTTGAGTGAAAGTGTCAATACATATTGATATAACATTTACCTAATAATATGAATATTTTTTTATTTAGTCGCAAATTATTTATTAATATTACATGGAGCTGCTAATTAACTCAAACCTTGAAGTCTTATGTACAGCGGATATCCCTCACAACACGGGGTTTGTATTCAAAACTAAATCATTATTATAAAAAGAAATTGTACTATAATTTTCTTGACAATAGATAGCCATATCCATAGACTTTCTATATAATAGTGACAAAAATAATAAAATAAATGCTTTTCCCATAAAGAATATCCAAACCAATAATCAGTGAGAAAATTGTCTTTAATTTTGTTATTTAATCAAAAAGAGGAAATCATAATACATTTTATTCACATTTTGTTGAACTCATTATTTTGATTAAAAGAAATAATTTCATCGATTATTCACTGAAGACATAGTTTTCTGGTTTTCACTTTTCAACAGAAATGATGAGATTTTTTTTCACTCAAAATAATGTTTTCAAATGTAAAGAGAAATCCTTCAGTGAAATCGATTTCTTTAATGAATTAATGAGGAAATTATAGATAAGTTCCCAAAAATATTTTTACAAACCTTTATAGAAAAAGTGGCAATTATTATAAAACTATTAAATAAATCCACGTTTTAAAACAACCCTGACATCAATCATTCCGAGCACAGGTATTCAAAAAAGTCTTGAATTCTTTTAGGCATTCAAATGACATTTTAATTGAAAAATATAGTAAAATATTCTTCACATAAATAACTCATACTATGTATTAAGACATCTCTAGGAATTGTGAACACATTTTTTTGCTTTACGTGTGAACAGTCTTTTAACCTTTAAAAACAGACAATTCATTTATAATTATATAAAAAAAACAATTTAGGAATTCATTCATAAAAAATACTAAATAAATAAGTAATAATTAAAATTAGCTAAAATCTCTATAACTATAATCATATAGTTTATGCATATAATTTTCTATGAGTTGGGAATGACTTTAAAAAAGTCAATCACTGTATTGTTTGCACAATGAAATTATGTGTTTTTGTCATGTCTTAGGCTAATGACAACTCTTCTCAATGTTGACAATAACAGTATAATAATACTAACCATTGAATAACTAACTGAACATTAATGATAATGTTATTAAATATTATATATATTGAGTTATTGAGGCTAATGAGTCCGGAAATATGGAATTCATTAAATGTTGACAATAACAGTATATTTGCAAATAATAATAACTAACCATTGAATAACTAACTGAACATTAATGATAATGTTATTAAATATGATATATATTGAGTTATTGAGGCTAATGAGTCCGGAAATATGGAATTCATTTATTATTGATTTGAAATTATTATTTATGTAAAAATTGAATTTTTTGTTTTTATGCACAAAAAATACTTTGAATATAATTTAAAAATTTGAATGAATTTCAGATGAAACACAGAAAAATGTGTTAAAAACCTATTGACTGCAAAAAACAAGACATTGATAGCGAAGTAGAGTAGAGAATAAGTTAAATGTGTGTTTGAATCACAAATACATTTATATCCCGGTCACACAAAAAAGTGTTCCGACATTATATATATCATACATAACCTACTCATCAGATGTGTTAAGAGATGTGTTTCTGGGATCTGATTGGGAAGTGGGGCTAACCTTCAGTTGTCGGCAAAATAGATGCAAATTATTGTTTGTCTGCGAATACAGGACAAAGAGGTTTAAGGTTTGGGTGAATATACAGTATATACTGTATTTGCAAGTGTCGGATAAGACCTTAAATTAATGTCAATACAATTTTTAGCCATTATATTTCAATGGGAAATTGTTTTATTAATAATGATATATTATTAAAATATTATTTATCTCCGTAAAGCGAGTTTTAAAAAAGAAATAATTTATTAAACAAAAATCTCAACTATTTTTATTCATAAAACGACTTTAAAAAAGGTATGAAAATAATGGTTAAATTAGGAGCCGGTATGGCATCAAAACAAACGCAAAGTATTTCATTTGCAAATCCAGTCCTCTTTTTTAATACACATGATATTCAGCGTACTATTTATGTATAGAAATTGATGTCAAATATAAATTAAAAACTTTTAAAATAAACAAATGAATTAAAACACATAAAATGAGGGAAACATATAATGTACTGTAGTATGAGATCCGAGATATCTAGATAATCACACATATAGTAACTTATAGCGTAAGCTTATACCTGAATTACATAAAATGAAATCTGATTTCATGGTCTTTACTACTTATTTAATTAATGACAAACTTTAAGATTTTTTTCTCCATAACAAGCAAAAAAAAGTTTATATAATTTTGTTGTTTGTCTGTTGATAGCAAATAATGAGAATAAAAATAACGCTGAGTTCAGAGACACTGCCAAATGAAATGCTTTTCTATTTTGATTGAAAATTAAAATATTAGTTATTCTGGCGTCAAAATCACACAAACATTTGTGTAAAATATAAATACGATTTATATATAAATAAATTTATATAAATTAAAAAATAATAAGAATTTATAATAACTTTTAGGCATTGGATGAGACATAAAAAACAACAACGAGTAAAAATAAATTATTTTTTCTAAATAGTTTTCATATACTTATAAAGATATGCCTAAAACCTCAAACCTTTAGCACCTGTTTGCAAAAATTTAACGTCAAAAATATCTTCAAGATTTCAACTCAAGAGTAGTACTCGTAAAATGAATTCATAAGACTCAACAAAAAGCCCATATTTTAATTATATTACAAGTATTACATTACTATTTTATATTATATTATAATATTACATTAATATGTCGAAAGACATGCTGTAAATACAGACAATATTACATTTAAAATAAAATATTTGTGTAATTAAATGCCATAATAAACAATGCTTTATTACATTAGGGTTAAGAAATTAAAGGATATAAAAACTTTAAAACGCTGTTATATTTAGGTAATAAGGTGTAAATACCTGGCTGTGTGTCAAACACTCGGACGAGTCCTTTTCGAGGCTTCAATCGGCCGATAATGCAACGCAAAAGTGTGGTCTTTCCGCACCCACTCGGCCCCAGTAGGCCATAGATGACACCCCGGGGCACACATAGGTTGGCGTTGTTTATCTCTGGCTTCGGTGAGCGTCTACTGTAACCGAAGTACAGATTCTGGACCAGCACTCCATCACTGCTATTAATACTACTTATTTCCATAATTATGTGATATTTGGCTCAATTTTGCCACTTTTTATACTTTCAATATAAATGTCTTATCTTTTTAGCGATTTATACACAATTCGCTTTAAAACACAATTGTATAGTTATTTTAAAGTTCACTATTCAATGACTTTCGTTTGTGTCATTAAACACGTTATGGACTCTAAAATTCATTTTCTCTATTTAAAAAAGTTAAAATAATTTTTATATAATATGTCACTAGTTTTCATAAAGATATTATGAATGAAATACAAAAACTAATTAAAATTCTAACTCGAAATTGAGAAAATATGAATTTTATTTTTTATAGCTAATAGTTATAGTTATAGCGAATATATAACTAAATCTATAAAAGCTATAAAAAGCAATTAAAAACTCTTGGTGTGAGTTAGTCGGCACACAAACCACTACTGAAATGATGAGACAATAAATTAGTCGAGAAATATGAATCGAGAATCGATTGGTTCAGTGCTTTAAAAGCGAGTGATTGTCTCAAACAAACACAACTGATATGAGTTATGATATATAGATATTTTCTTCATTCAAATAACATACACAAAGTTTGTGAAGATATTGCGATAACTAAATGAATGGTAAGACTGGAGAATAATTTCATGCAATTTCCTCTATGTTTAAGTCACTCCTCGTTTACCTTCACTCGACTAATGCCGAGAGAGGCGGGAAAATCCCTATTCAGAGCGTCATATACTGTACTAAACGCTATGTTTAGCATTAAATACAATACAAAACTTGTTATTCTGTGATATATAATTGAATTCAATATTAATACCCGTATATTATGTATATTATACTTTTTATTATTATTGATTCCTCTTATGATTACTATATAGTATTGCCGATACTATTAGTAAAGAATTTTTCTGAATATAAGTACGGATAGTATAGTACAGAAATACTCAATGTTCAGACATTTATATTGTCAATCAGTACTTTAAGGTTTTCAATGTCTGTATTAATGACTTCATTGGTATTCAATGGGTTTTCATTCATAATAGTCTAATATTCTAATGAAAATTTTGTTGTAAAACTGTTGATCACAAGGTTTTATGTCGGCTTTTAATTTGAATATTTTTAGTCAAAATAAATTTTTACAATTACCAATTTAAGTGACTAATAAATTATAAATTTTTATTAGATAATTACGGAAAAATAAAATGCATTTTTTGGTGATCGATCATTTGATTCATACAAATCGGCGCTCATTTAGACCTTACGACCCCTCGCCTTAAGTTATTTACTACTTCTCATTCAAATGAATCATAATTTTAATTTCGATATTTAAATAAATGAGAGGTTTTTTTCCCTCAAAAATTGCAAGAAAGCTATTAATGAAGCCATTACTTCATTACGAGTGTAATGAAAGACCTGAAAAAGTGTTTTAAAAATATAATCGAGGACTAAAATTAGATAAAAAGTAAGACTAAAATTAAAAAATTTCGTTTTCCATAGATTAACCAAAAAGAAGTAAAATATAAATGAATAAAAATGCTAACGACGCGATGTATATCATATTTAACTGATAAAGTGATTTAATGTACAGTATACTAGTTATATATACGGGGTATCTATAAAAATATATGTTTGTATTTATTGATGTCAAACAACTAACAACTCGTTTTGTTGTACTAAATAAAAACAAGCGCCCGATTAGGTGGCCATTCAAATACCGGTACTTTCTATATAAAACTGATCTTTGAGTTTAAAAAATATTAAATTTTAGTTTTTATTTCATTTTTTAGTCACTTATAACACACTATATTATAATTTCTATGGTGTGTGTGTGTGTATTAAATACATGTACTCCTAATGCCTATCAATAGCTACTAATTGATGAAAGTGTTCGCAATTTTATATTTCGTTTTCAAATGACCTGTATATCCAATGTTTGTGTTGTTTTTAGGGGGATTTAGTGTGTGTATACGCTCTCTTATAATTGAAAACTCAATTAAAACACACAGTTTTATATCCGGATTAACACAAAAATAGATTTTATTTGTGAAAAATCGAGGAAAAAGTATTTCAAATATTTTTTTTATTATTTATTTAAATTAATTCAATATTTTTCAAATAAATAATTAGGAGAAATGTTTTCGAAAAATATTAATATTTCCCTTCATTATCTAAACATAATATTAATATTTATGATTAGAAAATTTTGTTTAAATAATATTTTTCAATAATAAATATTAATAATAAGGATAGCAATGGGAAACTGAATTTTGATATATTTATGGCTCAAAGTTTGCTCACAATTTTATCTCTATTTTCCAGTTTAATAGTCATTTGATTTGATGTTTTGTAACTTCGACTAAATAATTAAATTATAAAAAAAACTATTTTTTAAAGGGTTTGTGATTATTAGAGTGTATTCACACATAAAATTGTTTTATGTTAACAAATATACACAAAAGAGTCACTGAATTAGTTTTGTTTGTGCTCTTTATCTCATTAATAGATGTATTAGTTTTTAAAAGTCAATTAATTATGTTTATTGATATGACTTTCATAAAGTTAGAGTACAAAAGTACTATATTTGTCAACAAAATCCTTAATAACTTGTAAAAACCAGTTTTTAAAATAAACTTTTTTGTGTAAAATGTACACTGAAATTATTTATAGTTTTACACAAATCAATAGTTACTTGTCATAGAAATTCAATAATAATAAAAGAATTAAATATTAAAAGCTTTTTATTTTATATACCATTCTTAGAAAATTAGAAATTAAATAAAATTAAAATAATTATTAAAATACAGCATAAGAGTACAAAGGTATTTTTCGTTTAAAACAACTTACATGTGTCTCTATAATAAACTATCAATAAATTTGTTAATATACAGATTGTTTCGCTAAATGCTGTGTTAGCATTAAATTAAGGGTATAAATTGTTAGACTAAATAAAATCATATGAATTAAATGTTAAGACTAATAACCGGGACATTAATACCTACAGGCAAACACTTAGTATGATTTGCATAGGATTTGTACAAAATTAAAACATTTTAAACCAAACAGACAAACGCTGAGAGAGAGAGAGAGTTAGAGAGNACAAATCTCTGTTTGAACATAAGCTATGTATCCATTAATTTGCGAGAGAGAGAGAGAGGGAGAGAGAGAGAGAGAGAGAGAGAGAGAGAGAGAGAGAGAGAATTGCCATATGAATAGCAATAGTGTTAAAGAACCGGAATCTATATTAAACAGAGTTCCTGTTCCACAATCAATCATTAAATTAAATACAATTAATTTTGGCTATAATTTAGGCACAAATAATAGCCTTTACAGAGTGAGTGGAAAATATTTTCCTTATTTGGCAAAAAATACTTTTCATTATACATTACTTTTGGGAACTTAATTGTGATACAGTATTAAAGCAAAATAAAAAGTTTAAGGATTTTTTATTTAAATTTTTATGAAATAAAAATAAAAAACTTTTCAATATAAGAGCTCATTTTAACATTTTAAAAATACAGTACTGATAAAAAATATTTTAATTTTGTTGACAAAAACTTATATAATTTTAGCGATAATTTAGTGTGAATTTCAAGTGTTTATTCTCAATGACCTCAATGTTGTGCTTGAATTTATTTTTTGTATATAAAATGCCTTAATTAAGACCTTTTACTATTATTATTAAAAACTATTATTTACCGTAATATTTATTATTAATAGTATTTCGTATAAAACTGTGTAAGAAAAACTTCATTGAATAACCAAATGCGTGAACACATTATGAAAAATATTTTATTATCTGATAGTAATGCATGAATTGATTTTCGATAATACTTTGTAGAAAAGATTTTTCATACAAAACACACTCAATTTGGTGATAAGTTTTTGAAAAACGTCTCAAACAATTAGATTCCCTGTCTTTCAGACAAACAAATGAATTGTTTTTAGTTTTCACAAAAATCAAGTGAACAGCCCTTCCCTTCCAATGCATGTCTAATGCAAATAATTTTAAGCTTTGTTTTAGACATCAATTGTTTAGAAAATTAATGATAATTCATAAGAAAGAAGATGATTTGGGTTTTCTTGACTTAAAAAAGTAAAAGTATTTTTTGCCTATTTTTTAGATAGACTGTTGCAATAAATATTGTAATTTATATGGAAATTATACAGAAAGTACTGATTTTATGAAAACTAAAAGTACTGTCAAAGTCATTGAATTGTGTGGTCATATGCACTTTAATTATAACTTTCGTAAATTTTACACAAAGTTTGGATATTTTATAGAAAAATATTAACTTATAAATTACCATAACTGTCCCCTATTTTGCATAAACCAATGCTTACCATTATATAAAAGGGTCAAAATTATGTCAATAGCACCGGTTGTTTGTCACCTAACCTTGTGGTCAGTGGTCTGAAACTTGATTATATAGAGGGTTTGCAACTACCAGTGCCCACAACAACAGTATCTCAAGTTCACTAAAGTCTCACAAGTTATGCAATACGTTACATAACTTAGCAATATATTTACATTATATTAATTAAAATAATAATTAACAAAATTAAAGCACTCAATGAAAAGTGTGAAAAACTTTTTTAAAGTGTGAAAAACTTTTTTTAACAAAACTGTTTGAAAAAGTTTGTTCACAAATGACTGCAACGAGTCATACGAGATGTCGTCAGCGATCGATGCCATGGATTGTCAACAAAATCACGTGTCGTTTGCCGTAATGTTTGGCCATTTGAGCGAAAAATGCATTTAATTTGCGAAACAATTAACGCATAAAATGTTACATCAGTTGAGAAAAAGTGTTTCAAACGGACAGTCATTTCGTTCATTACTATCACAATATCTGTCGCAACGGTTTCGACACAACAGGTCCGATGTCTTGAGGTCCAGACACAGACACAGGACGTCAGCGACGAGTGGTTCGCCAGAAGATAATAGTCTAACGAAGACCCAGAGGAATGAAAACGTGGATTATTTGGGTATATCTGCGGCCAATCACCGGGAGGTGAGCGGTCTGTACGACAGCGATGGCACCGGCGATGACGTGATCCACAAGTACTCGGATCTCTTGCTCAAGAAGTCGGCGAAGATGAGCGACGAGAACCTATTGGTGACCACTTTTGGTAGAGTGAGACTCGACTCACTGAACGAGCCATCAATTCATGGCCAATACGATGAAGACAATGAACGGCCGAAGTTTGATATCAAAGAGTTTGAGTCCAAACTCAGTGATCGTCGGATGAACACTAGTGACCAACAAAATCAATGTATGCATCAATTGAATGGATTTTTATTGGGTTTGAGTGGTAATTGACTTCTTGTGTCCACTTCTTAGCCGACAGTACGTCTGAAGACAATAACTTTATTGACGGCCAATATTTTGGTGGCGTTTCTACCGGTGATCATAAGAAAGTCGATGACAACAGTTCCGCAGACAGTCACACGAGTGGATCTGACTTTGGGTTCATTGAGAAACAGTTTTTCGCGAAGAACACCGACATTAAGCCATTAATTAAGAGTAAAATTGATTTCAAATTCAGTTCACAATTCAATGAGTTCTTAGAGCAGAAGGCGGTCGACGAGCAGAATATGTTCCAGA